TCTCCCACGGTATTATCAAGTCCACACAAGTGCACACTTAATTTAAAGCCTTATTGTTTTTGTTTTCCATGATCTTTACATGTATGTCTCTTACTAAACTAGCTCAAGGTGTATACTTAAAGCATTTAGGCTTATTGTTCATGACCCAAGGGCAAAGCTGACATGTTCAAGCTATAATCAGGTACAGGCCATAATCCTGAGCAGTGAAACAAGACTGTTTCTTTCAGTACTAACTGAGGAAACAAGTTCAGTAAGATATTTATTATAACTCTGGATTCAAATGAGGGGGGGAAGGGGGAGGGGGGAGACTTCAATTCAAACAAATTTTTGAATTGAGAGTTTTTTATTTTAACTACATCATTACTACATTTTCTAAGTTTTCATAGATTCTTACATATTAAATCATTTGCCAATCTTCTCACTTTGTCTTTTGCATAGTACAAACATGTTTCTAATTAAGTCCATTTTCTGCATTAAGTTCGTTTTGTATGTGACAGATATTGAAGGGAAATAGAGACAGGGACAGTGTTGTTTATCACAAGCTGAACCCACCAATCCAAGCTCGTTATATCAGACTCCGACCAACAGCATGGTATCGTCATATATCACTAAGGATGGAGCTTTACGGTTGCCAAGGTATGAAAAATGTTTAAGAGACGAAAATTGACCATTTTATTTTGGGCTAATTTGTTTTACAGAATGTTGAATTGGGTCAAGTTAAAACCCTTTTGTCGAGATTACAGTCTGAGGACAGTTTTCTTTTTCTCTGAACCTGGCCTGTAGGCACGGAACCTGGCACAATTGTTCACATAGATCCTTTGAAGAGAAAGGATCTCTCAAAAGTCTTCCAAGGAGTGTTTAGAGCAGATCTCAAATATTCCTGCAGGATTGAAGTTTGCCCTGTGGGTTCACACAAATCACACCTGTTTTTCCCTCTCTGACCCATTTGCAATGCTCTAAAGCAGAGAAATTATAACCACCAGCATGGTCTGCATGACTGCTACTGAGTCTATAATTTACGCATTGATTCCCCATCATTTCTGTATAAAAATCATGTTTTCGTAAGAATTGAGTAAGGCACTCTGTTATGTTTGTTTGACATTTTGCCATGTGAGATTTTCACATTGAGCCCTTAATTGACATCACTCCCTCTGAGTCCGGTAATCAACTTCCGGAACATGGTCAAATAAAGACAGACGGGAAATCACAAATTTAATGGGCCAAAAAAAGATACTTCTGGTGCTTGGATCTAGGGAAGGTTAGGAGAAGGAGACACACTGAAAACAAAAATTAAAGAAAATGGTACACAAATATTTTGATCTCACTGAGGGGTACTTTATTTAAGACTATTAAACTTCAAGATTTTTGAAACATGTACTTACTTTTCACGTCTAACTGAGTGTAAAAATGTATTGTGAGAAAACTTAGACATGTTTATATTAAAATGTCAATTGAAAATGTGAACCAGATTTTTTTGATTCATTTTTCTTTCTCATGTTAAGTAACATTTTTAGGTTTTTTTTTTTTACACTCAAGTCACATTTATTCTTGGGAACAACTAACATCTCCATATCAGGCTCTCAACATCAGAGGCTGTTATAAGGCTAGCCTTAATTTATGATTCTTTTAAGGATGCATTTAATTTGTTTTTTGCACTTTTGTTTAAAATAAGTTTTTTAACATTTTTAATTTGTTGGGTGCATTTTAATCTAAGTACCCAAGACAATAAGTAGAAATGGTGCTATTAGAACTGAATTTGTTTATTTATTTATTATTTCCATGTATTTAAATTTTTTTTAATTTATCTTACTTTGTCAAGAATTTAGGTTCTTTTTCTTAGTCAATCATCTTCATTAATGCATTCTTGTCATCTTGTTTTTTTATCCTCTTTGGCTATGCGCAGAGTGTTCAGGACCTCTCGGAATGGAAAGTGGCCGCATTCAAGATGCTCAAATCACTGCATCGTCAGAATATGATAGAAATCATGCAGCAATCCAGGGAAGATTGAACTTTAAGGCTGGTGGAGGCAAACAAGGAGGATGGTCAGCTCGCCAGAATAATGGAAATCAATGGATTCAAGTGGCTCTTGGCAGTAACACCAGATTAACAAGTATAGCGACACAGGGAAGGAATGCTCACAACCAGTGGGT